CGTGTTAATATAAGTTGATATTGACTGACACACACACACACACACACACACACACACACACACACACACACACACATAAACCACGAGGTCCCCCATTAAAACACCTGTCTCAACACCTCAACACACCTGTCCCATGTGACTCCTCACACACAGACACATAGACCAGACCTGTTTCTCATCCACAAATCCAATAACTTGCCTGTCTCATCTACTGTCTTTCCATGCCATCTCTTTGTCTTTCCCCTATAAGTTCATCTCTTGTTCCTTTCCCCCCTATGTTCATCTCTTGTTCCTTTCTCTCTACGTTCATCCTTCTTGTCTTTTCCTCCATGTTCATCTCTCTTTGCCCTTCCCCTATGTTCATCCTCCCTGTTCCTTTCCCCCACAAGCCCATCTCTCTTTGTCTCTTTCCCTATGTTTCCATCTTCTTGTCTTTCCTCTATGTTCATCTCTTGTTCCTTTCCCCCTATGTTCATCTCTTGTTCCTTTCCCTCTATGTTCATCTCTTGTTCCTTTCCCTCTACGTTCATCTCCTGTTCCTTTCCCTCTATGTTCATCTCTTGTTCCTTTCCCTCTATGTTCATCTCTTGTTCCTTTCCCTCTACGTTCATCTCTTGTTCCTTTCCCTCTATGTTCATCTCTTGTTCCTTTCCCTCTATGTTCATCTCTTGTTCCTTTCCCTCTACGTTCATCTCTTGTTCCTTTCCCTCTATGTTCATCTCTTGTTCCTTTCCCTCTATGTTCATCTCTTGTTCCTTTCCCCCTATGTTCATCTCCTGTTCCCTTTCCTCCACGTCTATCTCTTGTTCCCTTTCCCTCTTACGTTCATCTCTTTGTTCCTTTCCCTCTATGTTCATCTCTTTGTTCCCTTTCCCCCACGTTCATCTCTTGTTCCTTTCCCTCTACGTTCATCTCTTTGTTCCTTTCCCCCATGTTCATCTCTCTTGTTCCTTCTATGTTCATCTCTTTGTTCCTTCCTCTAAGGCTCCATCTCCAGTTCCTTTTCCTGATGTTCATCTCTCTTGTTCCTTTCCCCTCTACGTTCATCTCCCCTGTTCCTTTCCCCCACGTTCATCTCCTCCTGTTCCTTTCCCCCATGTTCATCTCTTGTTCCTTTCCCTCTATGTTCATCTCTTGTTCCTTCCCCTCTATGTTCATCTCCTGTTCCTTTCCCTCTACGTTCATCTCTTGTTCCTTTCCCTCTACGTTCATCTCTTGTTCCTTTCCCTCTATGTTCATCTCTTGTTCCTTGAGTGCAGGCAGAGAGAGAGAGAGAGAGAAAGAGAGAGGTGGGATCAACAAGCTGTCAACACCTGTATCGTTATGTAAGTTACCTCGTCATGTTGTAACGCCCACACCTTGGCGAGGAGACCACGGTCGACCCCTCTGAGAGAGAGAGAGAGAGAGAGAGAGAGAGAGAGAGAGAGATGAGAAAACAGGAGATGATTATTTGTTACCTGATAATTATGACTTTCTCCTTCCCTCCATTCCTCTCTCTCCGTTCCTCTCTCTTTCTCTCCGTTCCTCTCTCCTTCCCTCCCTCCTTCTCTTGCAAAAACAACAACAACATGGGAGGGAAGGTAAGAGGGAGGGGTAAAAGGGGCCAGTGTGCAAATGCAGGCAGGCAGGGAGGGAGGGAAGGGGTAAAGGGAGAGAGGAGGGAGGGAGGGAGGAAAAGAGAGAGACGTAAGGAGTGAAGGAGGGAGGGACGTTCAAGGTACCATCCAAGGGAGGGAGGGAAGGAAGGTCTAGGGAGGCATCCAAGGGAGGGAGGGTGTAAGGTGGCATCCAAGGGAGGGAGGGAGGGAGCGAAGGAGGAAGGGAAGGAAGGAGGGAAGGAGGGCGGCATCCAGTGCTAATTATGACAGGGACAGGTCGTATATCCTTCATAATGACACTGCCAGATCTCACCTTACCATTAGAAAACGAAGGTACGACTATAAACACACCTGTCCTCACCACCTGTCCTTACCACCTGTCCTCATCACCTGTCCTCGTTACCTGTCCTCACCATCTGTTCTCATCACCTGTCCTCGTTACCTGTCCTCACCATCTGTTCTCATCACCTGTCCTTACCACCTGTCCTCACAATCTGTCCTCATCACCTGTCCTTACCACCTGTCCTTACCATCTGTCCTCATCACCTGTCCTCACCACCTGTCCTCACCACCTGCCCTCATTACCTTACCTTACCTAACCTAACCTAACCAATCCCTACCCTATTATCTACCTCCCCACACACCATCCCTCCCTCCCTTCACTTTTACTCCCTACTCCATCCTTATCCTCTCCCACATCCCCCCTCCTCTCCTTTCCCCTCCCTTACCTCCCTCACATTCCCTCCCGTCCCTCACACCCCCTCCTGTTCCCCACTCTCACTTCTCTCCCTCACCCACCCCACTCTCTCCCTCACCCTCCCCCTCTCCCTCACCCCGTAGACCTAGTTTGAGTCTTGTGAGCGAGAGTGGCTACCTTCTACCCTCAGATGTAAGTGATCCCCTCCTTCCTTCCTTCCTTCCTTCCTTCCTTCCTTCCTTCCTTCCTTCCTTCTCCCGTCACTACAATACTGTATACTATACCACCTCCACCACAACCAATATCACCACAACCACCATAATCAATAACACCACAACCACCACATGACCATCACAACCACATCATAGCCATCACCACAACCACCATCTTACCACTACCACAACCACTACAACACCATACCTTCACCATCACCATCACAACAATAGCTAACCCTCAACCTAGTAAAGACCTCAGTAACACCACCACAACACCATACCTTCACCATACCTTCACCACCACAACACTATGTTACAGCATTTTCAACATAATATCACTATTGTTAAATAATAGCAATCTTCAACTTAGTAAAACTTTGGCACACTACGCACCATACTCACCATAACTACCACCACAACATCGCACTCTTCACCTATACCACTACAATGTAGTCAGACCCTCAACTCAGAAGACCCATAATACTATATACCTTCACCACACCACCACCACCACAACACCATACCTTCACCATACCTTCACCACCACAACAATAGCTGACCCCCAACCTAGTAAAGGCCTTAAACCACGAGTCATCGGATCGCTAAACTGTTATTACTGAAAAGCTGCTCCCATTATATTTAAGGCTCGTCCTGCTTGGATACATATCAGGTTGTCCAATTTGAAACATCGCGCGGCTGAGGATCATATTGCCTATTTGATGGAGAAAATATATATCTTGTGGGGGGGGGGGTGGAGGAGAGGTCGAGTTTACTCCTCCCTCCCTCTCTCTCTCTCCCTCTCTCCTCCCTCAGTTTCTCCTCACTTTCCTCCCTCCTTTTCCTCCTTCCAACCTCTATTCCTCCTCCTTTTCCTCTCTCCTCCCTCACATCTCTCCTCCCTTTTCTCCTCACCTTCCTCCTCTTGCTGTTGTACCATTGTTTCTTTCCCTTCCTCCTCCTCCTCCTCTTCACTCCCTTCCTCCACCTTCCTCCTCCTGTTGCTGTTCCACCGCCTCTTTTTCTTTCTTCTATTCCATCATCTCCTCCTTCTGTTTCACCTCCCCTGCTCCTTGTTCGAGTACTTCTCCCTCTCTCTTATTTCCCCCATTCTTCTCTCCTTCCCTCTCTCCTCCCTCTTTCATTCCAAGCTCTCTCTACCTCCCTCCTTCCTTCACCCTCCTTTTCTCCCCTTGCATAGGACGGCTTATAAAGTTATTGATGAAGAAGGAGCAGAAGCAGAAGGAAGAGGTGAAACGGGTAGGGGGAGGTGAGATGGGTAGGAGGATGAGGAAGAGGAGGAGGATGAGGGTGATGGGAGGGGAGAAGGGTGAGACGGGAGAAGGAGAAGGAGGAGATTGGGAGGGGAGAGGAGGAGGAGGAGGAGAGGAGGAGGAGGAGGAGGAGGAGGGAAGTGAGGCTGGTCTCAGGTAATCAGCTTGAGGAGTCCAAGTCATTTATCCACATCTCATCTGGATGTTATGGCAGACCTTCACCAGCTTGGGCAGACTTTCACCAGCTGCATAGATCTTCAACATATGTGGTGAGATCTTACAGCTGTGAGACCTCCATCTGTGGCAGGACTCCTTTCACCTATCTGTGGCAGACCTTGCTGTAGAGATCTTTCACAGCTGCAGACCTTTTCACTAGCTGTGGCAGATCTTTCTGACCAGGCAGTGACCTTGTCAGCTGCAGACCTTCACCAGCTGGGGCAGATTAAATTAGCTGTGCAGGTCTCACCATATGTGGCAGACCTTCACCAGCTGTGTAGAGACCACAGTTGTGGCAGACCTTCACCAGCTGTGGCAGACCTTCACCAGCTGTGACAGACCTTCACCATATGTGGCAGACCTTCACCAGCTGTGGTAGACCTTTGCCAGCTGTGGCAGACCTTCACCATATGTGGCAGACCTTCACCAGCTGTGGTAGACCTTTGCCAGCTGTGGCAGACCTTCACCAGCTGTGGACTGTTATAGAAGATAATTGCTGTGATGATGATAATGACGATAATGATGACGAAGCTGATACCTTGGAAGGAGAGCACAGATTAACTATCCCACAGTATAGTTCAAAACCAGGTGAACATGTGGAGCAATTAGCGGTGTCTTGTTCAATCAGTATACCTCAGCATCGTGTTCAAATGTCATGTTGATGTGCGTATATACCAATGACCGTGGGGAGGCATAAATATCTCCGTTGATTTGTAGGTAATAAAGGATTCAATCATATATATACCTCTTTTACCTCCCGGGTTTGCAGGTATATATACAAAGATAATGGGAAGATATACCTGTCCCATCTGATAGCTGGTTTAGGTGTTATTATACCTGTACTGTGTGTTTGTGTGTGTGTGACCAACTGTGTAATGTAGTGTACCATTATCACTATTACTACTTCAGTTGTTGTTGTTGGTGGTGGTGGTGGTGTTGTTGTTGTTGTTGGTGTTGTTATTGTTGTTGTTCGTGATGTTAATTCTTTGTTTCCATATTTCAGGAATTCGCCGAAACCGCGATGAATGAACTGCTCGGCCTGTATGGGTACGGCAAGGTGGACAGCCGTGACACCCTGGGCCTGTCTCTCCACCGCTTCACCACCCACAGTCCACCACCACCACCCCCACCACCACCACACCCCACCACCACCACTAGCCCTCCAGCACGACCCCCCGACCACAGTCCCTCTCGGCAACCACGACAACACAGCCCGACACACTCCACCAATCACAGCCCACAACAACATCCCTCAGATCACGAACACGATGGTGATTCGCTAGATTCCGACGACATGCCTGTTCCTGGCCAATTAGAACACAGTATTGTGAGTCCCGGTAAAACTGACCAGGGATCCGGGTCTTCTCGAGGCAGCACGCCCAAATCCGGTAAGTTCCGGTTTATTTGTTTTATCCATTTGTTTTAACCATGTATCCGGTTTATCCGATCTCCGGTCACGGGTAAATTGTGACTATGAATATTATATTATTTGGTTTTTGTCTGGACTTCAAGTTTGTGAAGAGTAATAGACGTAAAATCTTGTTAAGGTATATTTATATAAGTATTGGGTTGGGAATTTTTTGGGTGACGTCTTTATCTGTGTTGACATTGTTTTCAGTAAGGCGTGTTATTGTTCAGTAAATAGTGTGTACGTTTGTGTACTGTACGTGTGTGTGTATTGTACGTGTGTGTGTATTGTACGTGTGTGTACTGTACGTGTGTGTACTGTACGTGTGTGTGTGAGTAATTCTCCTTTCGACTTTAATCTTTAGTCATTTGGAAGGAAAAATAGAAATCTGACGAACACTGTAGCATTAGAACTCAGCCGTAGTTATTAAATTACTAAGGTTATCACATTTCAGTGTTTTGTTTGTATATAGATTAACAGTGTACCTGAACTGGGGGTGTGTGTACGGGGGTCAGGTGGAGAGTCAAGACAGTAGGAGTTCTTGTATATAAGTAAGCATGCTACCTGTAACAATGACGTCACACAAACTCTTGGTAGAAAGAGAGAGAGAGAGAGAGAGAGAGAGAGATAAAACTGGTGTATATTATAAAGACGTAAGCTGGAGCACTATAATATTAATCTCAGGTAACTCAGATTTCCTCAAAAAATAACAAAAGTGTCACTAACAGCCGGGAGATGAAGTGTTGTGAAGAGGTGACCATGATGGGTAATAACTGTGTGTGTGTGTGTGTTGTGTGTGTGTGTGTTGTGTGTGTGTGTGTGTGTGTGTGTGTGTGGTATTGTTATGATTCGTGGTTGTAGTGGTTAGTGGGTGTGGGGAAGTGGTGTTTGTGGTTAGTTAGTGGTAGGAGGTAGCAGTGGTGGTGGTGAGAGTGATTAATGAGTGGTGATAGTAGTAGTATTCTACGCCAGACACGCGGAGGTGCTATCCGAACAGAAAATAAGACAAAAATGAACATATATCAAATTCAATGTTTACAGAGAGACAGTTGCCAAGTCGTGAATTTTTGCAACATAGTTTTAGGATCAGGGTCTTGACAGATCTTGGTGGATACGTGGCAGTAGTCAACACGTGTCTCACTATTTGAAACTAATCACCTTTGAAGAGATACTTTAGATACATCGTCAAGATAAAGTGTATACTGTGGCTACTGGCTGCTAACTCTCTCTCTCTCTCTCTCTCTCTACTTCCTCTCTCTTTCTGTCTCTCTTTCTCCTCCCTTTTTTATATCTCTTCTCCCCTCTCTCTCTCTCTCTCATAATCTCCTCCACCTGTGTATCCCCATCCGTTTACCTCCATCTTTCTAGCGGGTGGAGAAATAATTAGCCGTAATAGCCCACCTGGAGGTCTGTGTTTGGCGGGGTGGGCGCGTCGCCAGGCTCAGAGGGCGCGATACTCCCGCCAAATGAATTCATTTAATGACTATATTTGTCGCAGGGTTTCCATATCAGCGATTTTGGAGGTCATTTGTACGGCACCGGCGACCCTTGAACACCTTATCTTGGTCTTTAATTACATTTTAGAACTTACAGGTGTGTTTTAATGTCTTGTTTTTTTATATTTACTCCATCTTGGTTTACGGTAGAAATTCAGAAGTGTATGTTCATCATCCTCGTATACTAACTACTGTCAAATGTATCAGATATTTTAGATTATAAATACCCGGGTCTAAGTTTTCTGTTACGTAAATAATACTGTTGAGTATTTTCTGACTTAATATAGAGAAAAATTCTATTGAGTGTTAGGAGTACTTAACCCCTTTCCCACCACCCCCAACACTACACACTATACTTATGTTAAAGTGTCTTATATCTCCCCCCACGTAACCCCCTTTAAAGTGTCTTATCTCCCACACGCAACCCCCTTTTAAAGTGTGTGTGTGTGCGGCAGTTTTGTGTTTCGGTAGGGCGGTCTTACTCGGGTGTCGTGTCGGCTGTTTTAGAAGGTGAGGCAAAAACGACCTCTTGGTATTTACTTTCCGAGCTTCGCCTGTCATCCTTCCCGCCAAGTTTTGCAGCCACTTTGAGATGTAGCAGCAGCGTGAGGGTGTAGTGAGATGTGGGGGTGTAGTGGGTGTGTGAGGGTGTATAGTGTGGGTGTTGGGGGTGTAGTGGGTGTGTGGGGGTGTAGTGGGTGTGTGAGGGTGTATAGTGTGGGTGTTGGGGGTGTAGCCACAGGGTAGGGGTGTTATTTTGCTAGGTTAGGTTAGGTTAGGTTACGGTATAAACATAATAATAGGGACTGTGTTTACCTTTTCGATGGTCAACAATATACGTGTGACTCTCTCTCTCTCTCTCTCTCTCTCTCTCTCTCTCTCTCTCTCTCGTCTATCTCCTCTTCTTCTTCTTCTTCTTCCTCCTCTTCTTACCCTTCTTCTCCTCCTCTTCTTCCTCCTCCTCCTCCCTTATGCTACCTTCCCTCCTTCCCCCCTTATGCTACCTTCCCTTCCTCCTTCCCCACTTAGGCTACCTTCCTCCTCCTCCTCCCTTATGCTACCTTCCCCTTCCTCCTTCCCACTTGTGCTACCTTCCCCTTCCTCTTTCTCCCTTATGCTACCTTCCCCTTCCTCCTTCTCCCTTATGCTACCTTCCCCTTCCTCCTTCCCCCTTATGCTACCTTCCCCTTCCTCCTTCCCACTTGTGCTACCCTTTCCTCTTCCTCTTTTGACTTCCCGAGTGACTGACTGGTTGACTGAGTAATAATTGACTGACTGACTGTCGAACTGAGTGACTGACGTAGTTGAATATTAGTAACAGTGCCACATAGCTTCTAGAGATTGTAGTAACAGTGCCATAGCTTCTAGAGATTGTGGTAACAGTGCCAAATTTTAAGGGGATTATAGTAACAGTGCCATAGCTTCTAGAGATTGTGGGAACAGTGCCAAATTTTAAGGGGATTATAGTAACAGTGCCATAGCTTCTAGAGATTGTGGTAACAGTGCCAAATTTTAAGGGATTATAGTAACAGTGCCATAGCTTCTAGAGACTGTGGTAACAGTGCCAAATTTTAAGGGGATTATAGTAACAGTGCCATAGCTTCTAGAGATTGTGGGAACAGTGCCAAATTTTAAGGGGATTATAGTAACAGTGACATAACGTCTAGGGATTGTGGTAACAGTGCTAAAATCTGAAGGGGGGAAGGTGGGTTGCCAGGGTGAGGGGGTAAGACGAAGTGGCACCTGTATTACCCTGAGGGTCATTAACTAGTTCTGATGGTGGTGGTGGAGGGGAGGGCGTGATTAGCCATGAGAGAGAGAGAGAGAGAGAGAGAGGCTGGTGATTTGTACATTATGTCCTTGCAAACAAAATCTCTATAATTAGGACACTGGACCCTCGCCTCCCGAACCAGTGTCCTAACTTAACAACCAATGTCCTAAGTTAACACCCAACGTGCTAAGTTAACATCCAATGTCCTAAGTTAACACCCAATGTGCTAAGTTAACAACCAATGTCCTAAGTTAACAACCAATGTCCTAAGTTAACAACCAATGTCCTAAGTTAACAACCAATGTCCTAAGTTAACAGCCAATGTCCTAAGTTAACACCCAATGTCCTAAGTTAACAACCAATGTCCTAAGTTAACAACCAATGTTCTGAGTTAACAACCAATGTCCTAAGTTAACAGCCAATGTCCTAAGTTAACACCCAATGTCCTAAGTTAACAACCAATGTCCTAAGTTAACAACCAATGTCCTAAGTTAACAGCCAATGTCCTAAGTTAACACCCAATGTGCTAAGTTAACAACCAATGTTCTGAGTTAACAACCAATGTCCTAAGTTAACAGCCAATGTCCTAAGTTAACAACCAATGTCCTAAGTTAACACCCAATGTCCTAAGTTAACAACCAATGTCCTAAGTTAACAACCAATGTACTAAGTTAACAACCAATGTACTAAGTTAACACCCAATGTCCTAAGTTAACAACCAATGTCCTAAGTTAACAACCAATGTCCTAAGTTAACAACCAATGTACTAAGTTAACACCCAATGTCTTAACAACCAAAAATACAACATTTAACCAACACTTGACTTGCTTTATAGCCAAAAAATGTTGTTTATTTACTAAGGGGTGACTGACCTTGCCAGGGCCAAGCAAGACGTAAACAGAGGCTGTGAACACTTTATTCCCGTCTCCTGTAACCCCCTTGAGTACAACTTATCCTCCTTGAGTACGACTTAACCTTCTTGAGTACAACTTAACCCCCTTGAGTACGACTTAACCTTCTTGAGTATGACTTAACCCCCTTGAGTACGTCTTAACCCCTTTGAGTACGACTGAACCTTCTTGAATACGACTTAACCCCTTTGAGTACGATGACTTGATCCTCTATTAACTATGATTTAGTACATTGACAACGATGACTTGACACCTAGAGTACCATGATTAAACCTTTGAGTACGAATTAACCTCTTGAGTACACTGACTTAACCCCCATCTGTGAGGGGAAGGGACTGTGTGGGAGAGGGTAGGAGTGAGGGGGAAGGGACTATGTGGGAGAGGGTAGGAGTGAGGGGGAAGGGACTATGTGGGAGAGGGTAGGAGTGAGGGGGAAGGGACAATGTGGGAGAGGGTAGGAGTGAGGGGGAAGGGACTATGTGGGAGAGGGTAGGAGTGAGGGGGAAGGGACTATGTGGGAGAGGGTAGGAGTGAGGGGGAAGGGACTATGTGGGAGAGGGTAGGAGTGACGGAGAAGGAGATGACCAGCTGTTTCCATCCGTCACCTAAACAAGTACCTCACCTCGGCTGGCCCCTCCACCCACATTCCGTTCACCCTCCACCCACTACCACCCACCAACTATCACTCCACCAACAGTTCGGCTACCTTACTTCCACTTGGCCACCCACCACATTCACTACCACCCACCACCACTATCACCCACCACCACAACCATTACCACTCACCCACAATACAGATATA